TGTGGCAACATACTTATCTCGCCCAAATCATAGATAGAGCCTCTCACCGCCACTTGGCACTAGTAGGGCCTCATCTGTCACTAGTCAAAGTTAAGTTCTTCGCTTCGGCAATAGCCTTACATTCCAGTTCACCTGAGGAATTCCCCCCCAGCCCCACACATTTCATTTTTCTCATACGCCCCTACTAAATCCAATTCATTAATTCATTTATAGAATGTCTTCAAGATCCGTCTCCCACTGACAAATTGCCATCCAATGAGATTCCGTTTACACCTATCAGACCTGAGTCTCCAGGCGAATCTCTCACCCCATCTACTCCTACGTCCTTAAGAGCATGGACTATCCCAAAAATTATGGCCGAACTTAGGCTTAGGGGCATCCCCTTTCCGGCTACGGCACGTAAGGCGGAACTCTACATACTGTTGACATGCCAAGCCCCTGAGCCTAGGCCAGGCACTAGCTCTCAAGGTCTACCATCTGGCGCGGGCATAGCCACCCAGGACACCCTTGCGGCAATCCTGGCCAACCTTAAACAGCAGGTTAAGCAAGGTCGAGAGTGCCATAGCCTCCCCAGGTAACCCTCCTGACCTTTCAGCCTTCACCCCTGCAGTACCTATGGCACCAACTCCTGCCCCTATACTCCCTCCTTCAGCTCCTGCCATATATACGTATCCTTTTGTGTCACCAGCTCACTCCGTCCCAGACTCCATTAGGAAAGAAATCCTGGATGGGAAGGACGTGTGTCTGGTGTCATTACTGATAGCCTCCCAAAACGTACTGGAGAACAGGGCTTATAACTTTGGGGACATTTCAGTGGTTCTTAAAACCAGAGACCCCAGACTCAATAAAAAATTATCTATTCCCAATTTTGTTTTGGCCTTTGGGATATACCGTGATGTCATCTGCTCGGTATATCCCCACAGGAGAGAGGAACTGGACCTCTATCTCCATAAAGTGGTGGATTTGGGCGTCAAGTACGGAGGCTCTTCTTTTTACGATTATCACAAATCAATATCAGCAAAAGCGGCGACACATCTGAAACAGTTTAACGTAAGAATCAACTGGTGTCAGATGGATACAGAATTATTCTGTCGCCACTTTGCTGGTCTGAGGCCCCCGTCCTGTGCCATATGTAATTCTTCTACGCACTTGGCTGATTTGTGTCCTTCTGTGGCTGATCCATCCACCCCTCCATCCACCTCCACTCCTCACAATAAACACGAGGGTGGTCAGCGGGACAAACTGGGTAGGCCCATCTCCTTTCTAGGGAAAGCGCAGGTGTGCAACAACTTCAATGCAGGTTCTTGCAGCTTCAGTGCCTGTAGATTGTTGCACATCTGCTCTATCTGCTTCAGGGCACACACTAAAACCATGTGCCCGGCCAGGTTGTCCCCTAGCAAATGACTAACCGACATTAATATCGACAACCTGTTTTTTTTACTTGGAAACTCATCCAAGTAGGCCTCTAGTGGAATATTTGATAACAGGGTTCACCCAGGGCTTTCTCACAGGTCTCGTAGCCATCCCCTCAGGCACGCTTGAATGCCCCAATCTCCTATCTGCCTGCCTAGACCCTGAGGCCACAGACGCTCTCCTGTCCACAGAAATAGCACAAGGTTTCATGATGGGCCCCTTCACCTCCTCACCGTTTTCCTCCTGGCGCACTAACCCTATCGGAATTGATGTACACAAATACTCAAATAAAAAGCGCATGATTATCGATTTATCAGCACCGCACTCTTCTTTTGTTCCCATCATTAACGCACTCATTCCGGCAGACGAATTCTCACTACAATACGTAAAAATCGACGACGCTATACAAACCATCATTTCAACCGGTAGCAACGCTTGGCTTACCAAAACAGACATAACCAATGCATTTAAATTACTTCCCATGCACCCATCACTTTGGCACTTACATGGTGTTAAATGGCGAAACAGGTACTATTTTTCCACGCGACTCACTTTCGGGTCCAGAAGCAGCCCTAAACGGTTTGATATTTTTGCAGAAACTCTATGCTGGCTGCTTCTGAACATTCTAAGGTGTCACACCGTCATTATTTGGATGACTTCCTCTTAATAGAACCAAGCGTACGCACACCCACCGATATCCTCAGCACTTTTTTCAACACTCGGTGTACCTTTGTCTCCCTCTAAAACGATTGGCCCCACTACTAAACTTACATTCTTGGGGATAGAGCTGGACTCTGGTACCTTCCGCGCCAGCCTTCCCCCCGACAAACTGGTCCGCCAGAGAGGGGAAATAGACATCTTCCTGCGGAATGATGTATGCACCAGGAAAGAACTTCAGTCCTTATTGGGGTCTCTGAATTTCGCAATGCGCATCATTCCACAGGGAAGGTCTTTTGTATCCAGGCTTCGTCTGCTTCACGGGGTACCAGACGCCTGCCCAATTACATTGGACCAGCATGCCAAGGCTGACCTACTCATGTGGGGGAAGTTTTTGACAGAGTGGAATGGTATCTCCATGTTTATTCCCCCTCTCTCCGACTCCTCACCCTGCATTTACACTGACGCTGCAGCCAACACAGGTTTCGCAGCCATATTCGGTAATCACTGGCCCACTGAGACGGATGCCTTGCCGGGTTTTAGAGAAACTTCTGCACTCTTTGAAATTTACCCCATCGTTGCTGCCGCACACACCTGGGGTCATCTCTGGTCCGGCAAGGCAGTAAAATGCTATTCTGACAACTCATCAGCTTGCGATATCATTAACAAGGGGCGCTCTTCCTCCCTTACCATTATGCGGCTAAAACGCAAGCTGACCTGGCTTGCAGCAACCGTCCAGTTCCACTTAATTTGCTTTCACATCCCGGGTATCCACAACACGGCCGCTGATGCTCTGTCTCGATCTCAGTTCCAGGTATTCTTCCCGTCAGTCCACCATCAACCATCCAGAACACCGAGCTTTCACTAGTTAATCCTGGATTGAGCACACTTATGCACCACGCTAGGACTCTTACGCACCAAGCACTATCACCTAACACAACTATCATCTACAGTAGGGCACTTACGGTTTTCAACAAATTTACAACTGAATTCGGATTACAAGGCGACTTCTCTACACAAACTATGGTGGCTTTTGCCACTTACATTTAAAACTTTCCCACAACACTATTAAATTATACCTCCCGGGGGTGCAGCACCACAGCTTCACAAATTTCCCTAACACCCCCTTTTTGTCATCATACCCCATCAAGAAAATCTTAAAGGGTATCTCTAAAATTTCAGTTCCATTTCTTACCACCAGACTTCCAATAGATGGGCCTATCTTTAGATCACTTAGTAATCTCCTTGACGAATCCCCATTGGATCCCAACACAAACCTGGTGATCAAATCTGCTATCTATTTAGATTTTTATGGGTTCCTAAGACCTAGGGAATTTACCATCGTTAGCCAAGGAGATATCACACACTGCCTTAAAACCTCACAACTCACAAAAGTAGACGATTACTACATTCTCACGATCCCGTCTACCAAAACGAATCATTCCTCTCTTTCCAACAGATAATGCTTGGTGCCCTGTTAAGGCACTAGACCACCTAAAGTCAACTCATAACGCGCACTTACCAGACTCACCGCTCTTACAACTACAAGGGCACCCACTCACTACAGCAAAATTCACCACGCACGTTAGAATCTTATTGGGAAAACTGGGTTACAACCCAGCTTCATTCTCCGGGCATTCCTTCCGCATAGCAGCCGCTTCATCAGCCTCTAGTACAAACACCCCGCTCCACATCATTAAGGGACTGGGTCGCTGGAAATCCTCTATATACAACACGCACATTCCACGACCAGAAAGAGAACTCTGTCAAGCCTTCAAGAATTTAGTTATGTAACAAATGCAATTAAGTGTTTTTTCATACTTCTCTTTTGCCCTCTTATTTACAGGCCCACTCGGACGTTGGTGTAGGCACACCCCAACCAACTTTCATCCCATCTCACTCTCCATTACATATTAAATTACTATATATAAATAATCTAAGTGTGTGTATATACATACACACTCATACACTGTCTAGGTGTATTTTACTATTAATATATAATTATATATTAAGATCAAATTACACATAGATTGATACTGAATATATAGTTGTTATATATTTATATAATATAAAAAAATAATATGTAAATACGTAAAAAAATTAAATTAATATATAGATGTGTGTTATTTCGTTCTAACTATTGTGATATATCTATATCAAAATACATGTAGAACAAAATAATATATCTACATAAATATATACGTATATATCACTATATATACATAAAAATATTTTTTAAAAAACAAATAAAAGTTTTTTGCCTTTTTCATGTACAAACAGCACTTACACGGACGATATTATTGCTGTGATACTTTTTACGGTTTTGAAACACAAATATTTGTGTTCAGCAAACTCTCCCGAGTACAACAGTACCCCTCATGTACAGGTTTTATGGTGTTTTCAAAAGTTACAGCGTCAAATATAAGGCTTGTGTTTAATTTTTTTCACATTAAAATTCGCCAGATTGGTTATGGTGCCTTTGAGACCCTATGGTAGCCCAAGAATGAAAATTACCCCTATGATGGTATACCATTTGCAATAGTAGACAACCCAAGGTATTGCAAACGGGGTATTTCCAGTCTTTTTTAGTAGCCACTTAGTCACAAACACTGGCCAAAATTGGCGGTTTTTGCATTTTTCACACAAATACTAACGCTAACTTTGGCTAGTGTTTGTGACCAAATGGCTACTAAGAAAGACTGGACATACCCCATTTGCAATACCTTGGGTTGTCTACTATTGCAAATAGTATGCCATTATGGGTGTAAATTTCATTCCTGGACTACTATAAAGTCCCAAAGGCAACGTAACCAATCTGGCGAATTTCAAATGTAACGTGCTATATTTGACCCTGTAACTTCCAAAAACACCATAAAAACTGTACATGGGGGGTACTGTTTAACACGTGAGACTTTGCTGAATACAAATGTGTATTTTATTGCAGTAAAAGCAAACAGTATTATGACATTCACAGTTAAAATGTCATGTAGAACAAAAAAAAAAAATAAAAAAAAAAAATCTTATTTTCTCCTTTTTTTTCATATTAAATTATGTTTCATAGCTAAATAGTTGATATTAAATGAAAGCCCTGTTTCCCCTGAATAAAATGATATATAATACGGGTGGGTGTATTTACTATGAAAGAGTTGAATTACGGTTGGACAGACATGTAGCGCAAATGCCAGGTTTTGTTTACATTCTGTTTCGTTCACGTGTACATTTGGCTCAGTCCTTAAGTAGAAATAAAAAGATAAATGTACACCCTTTCTACAAAATATTCTGCACTTGTGCATAAACTGGTGGGTGGTAAGGAAATTTTTCCATCAAGAAAGATGCATTAGTGGGCAGTAGGTAGAAAAAGGTTTACTACCACTGCTGTAAACACTGTCTTTTCAGAGAAAAGTGTTTACATTACAGCCTAGGGATACCTCCACTGACCACTCCACAGAGGGCTGCTAGAGGTGCTTCCTGGGGCAGTGTTGCACATTGTGACTGACATTCAGTGTCTCCACGTAGACACTGAACTTACTGGCCAGGGCTGTGTTTCACTTGTGCTGGTTCTGTCCCTGATCTGCCTCCTTTGACAGTCAGCCAGTACACTGCTTTCTTATAGGAAAACATTGTGTCAAATCACCAAGGAGGCAGATCAGGGGCAGCAGTAGACTGGATTAAAAGATATTTGTTGTTGGTTTTTTTTTTTTTTTTTTTAAACACTATAGGGTCAGGAATAAAGGTTTGTGTTCCTGACCTTAGTGTTCCTTTATCACATCTTTCCAGTGCAGCCCCTGGATTAACATTTCTTTTTAGGGTTAGGACCTTAAATCATGTGATGAGAAACAGAAGGCATTTTGAGAAGTTCAGCAATTGCTTTAATCAGATCACCTGAAACGGTAGGAGAGCAGATATTTTTTTTAACTTCATTATACAGGTTCAGTTTCCACAGATCCAAAGCACAGAAGTGACTGATTCTGACAAGCTTAAAGGACCACTATAGTGCCAGGAAAACATACTAGTTTTCCTGGCACTATAGTGCCCTGAGGGTGCCCCCACCCGGCTCTGGAAGGGGGAAAGGGTTAAAAACATACCTTTTTCCTGCGCTGGGCGGGGAGCTCTCCTTCTCTCCTCCTCCGTTCCTCCTCCTGGGCTGAATGCAAGCGCCTCTAGTGGCTATCAATGAAACAGCCACTAGAGGATTTAGGGGGAAGGCTTAACCCATTCATAAACATAGCAGTTTCTCTGAAACTGCTATGTTTATAAAAAAATGGGTTAACCCTAGAAGGACCTGGCACCCAGACCACTTCATTAAGCTGAAGTGGTCTGGGTGCCTAGAGTGGTCCTTTAAGTGGAAAGCCAAACATTTTTTAACTTATGGCTTTCTTCGTCTAGACCAGGACTGTCCAATAGTTAGATCCCCAGATGTCGAAGAACTACAACTTCCTTGATTCCATGTCATTCAAAGCATCATGGGAGTTGTAATTCTACATCGGGGATCTACCTATTGGGCAGCCCTGAGCTAGACAGTTCTCACTCCACCCCCTCATCCTTTCAACTCTCCCACTGTAAAGGACACTTCTGATCTCCCCCTGTGCTAATCTCCAGCCTGTAAAATACTGATTAAGACATGGATGTAGGAGCAGTTTACCTGTGCAGGTGATGGCCTGTTTTACACAGTAAGATTGCTATAGCAAATGTAGTTCAATTGTAAAATTTTTACATTTTGTATTGACTCTAAGATGTTTTGTACCTTTATCTTTTTACGTGTATCAATTGGAAACTGCAGCATGTGCGCTTGCTTTATAAATTATAACATACAAACAATTGGTATCATCATGTGTGAGTCAGCCAAACAAATCATAGGACATTGCTACAGCTGGACTGCCCAACAGACAAGGACAGGAGACTGACAATACAACAAAGAAACACGCTAGCAGTTTGTTGGGTTTTTCATTTATTTTTACAGTTTGAGTTTGTATCCAAAATCCTCAAGTCCTGGCCTTCAGCATCCTAAAAAAAAACTCAGATTAGTATATTCATCTTTAACTCATAAAACCACACCAATAACTCAAAGTAGTACATCAAGGGGATGCATTAAGCAGTTCTCATGTGACCAAAAGTGAGAAACATTACAAACATTGCCAGTAAGAATAAATGTTCTATAATAAGTAGTGCATTTATTCAACTGTGTCAATCCTATTTTAGACTTCATGGAAGTTTTTTTGGTGGCAGACTAAGCACCATAATCACTACATACACCTTCCAATAGTTCTGGGTCAATACATTTAAAGGACCACTCTAGGCACCCAGACCACTTCAGCTTAAAGGACCACTCTAGGCACCCAGACCACTTCAGCTTAATGAAGTGGTCTGGGTGCCAAGTTCTTCTAGGGTTAACCCATTTTTTTTTTTTTTTAAATAAACATAGCAGTTTCAGAGAAACTGCTATGTTTATGAATGGGTTAAGCCTTCCCCTATTCCCTTCTCATTGACAGCCGCTTGCGTGCTTCTCACAGTGATTTTCACAGTGAGAGCACGCCAGCGTCCATAGGAAAGCATTGTAAATGCTTTCCTATGCGACCAGCTGAATGCGCGCGCGTGCGCATTCAGCCGACGGGGCGGAACGGAGGAGGAGAGCTCTCCGCCCAGCACTGGAAAAAAAGTTGAGTTTAAACCCCTTTCCCCCTTCCAGAGCCGGGCGGGAGGGGGACCCTGAGGGTGGGGGCACCCTCAGGGCACTATAGTGGTCCTTTAATGAAGTTCTCTGGGTGCCTGATCCTTCTAGGGTTAACCCATTTTTTTTTATAAACATAGCAGTTTCAGAGAAACTGCTATGTTTACCTATGGGTTAAGCCTTCCTCCAAAGCCTCTAGCGGCTGTCTCATTGACAGCGACCGGCTGAATGCGCGTGCAGCTCTTGCCGCGCGTGCGCATTCAGCCAAATGGGCTGAGAGCTCCCCGCCCAGCGCTGAAAAAAAAGGTACGTTTTTACCCCTTTCCAGAGCCGGGCGGGAGTGGGTCCCTGAGGGTGGCGGCACCCTCAGGGCACTATAGTGGTCATTTAATTTGATCTGACCAAAGAAGGAGGGGTCCCGGCAGCCCAGACAATTGCTCTGCCAATGCTTACACAATCTCTCAGCACACATACCAGCCAAAACGCCTGCCTAAGAGTACATTAGCTGCACTACAAAACTGGAATCATTTGTCCTTTATATTGAAAGAAAGCACTTGCTGTTTCGACATGTATGCCGCTTGCAGCAGGCATTTTGATTACAGAATGGATGTTTTTTGTAGTGCTACATGTTTGAAAATCAAGATCTAAATAGTGAAAACAATGAACCATAGCAACTTCATTAGGTTCTGAACAGGCTACCCATGCCAATAACTACAGTAAATCAGAAGCAAAAAGGATCTACGGGCTGTCCTACAGCACAAGATCACAGAAGTACAGGTAAACACAACCAGTGCTCAGAATTTTGACTTGTGCCTAGCCTTTTGTTAGTACCAATTTAGTCACGATGAGCATTCTATATGGCCTGGCAAGTAGCATAGGACTTCAAATTTTAAAGCCTAGTAACTATGTAGACAGGAGTTTAGCATAACTAGCACTTAAAGATAAGTTTCGAATTAAGCAACCATTAATATAAATTACACAGTAACCGCTGACAGCAATTTTCGTTTACAATTTCCAGGGCTCTTTTAAATGGTTAAAATCAAATTATAAATCACCTTCTCAGACAAATGCCTCAAGGACATCAAGTGAAAGGTAACCTTAACTCAGTGGACTTGTATCTACAGCACAAGACGTGACGCAGACACTAACCACAGGAAAATGATTTACCCATTCAGACTCGTCATCGTATCATCACAGAAGGGATTAAACTACCCCCCAACCAGTGTGTGCAAGAGAGCACCCTCCCATACAGAGACCATAGATATCTTACTATGCAGTAGGAACAGGCTGGGGCATGGCTGGTGGCTGGGGCTGCTGCTCTGGCTTGGCTCCTTTCTGCTCAGAGATGGGGGTGGTGGGCAGAATCTCTTCTTTGGGCTCAACAATGCTGACATGATCAGGTAAGGGCTTCTTGGGGCCAATCTTTCCACTTGGGTCCCACGGCAGCATGATCTTTACCTTGATACCGAGCACACCTGCAAAATTATACAACATATTTAGTGCACATATGGTCTTGTTAACTGTAAGTTACACAAAAATGGAAATCTGCAGAATCCGTTTGTTTGCACCTATCACATACTTAATTCACTAGCCAGAGTGCTGTTAAATGCACACAAGTCAAGTATGCCCAATGCTAGATTAGGCCCCTTAGTTAAAGGACCACTATAAGGTCAGGAACACAAACATGTATTCTGACCCTATAGTGTTAAAACCACCATCTAACCCCCTGGGCCCCTCATGCCTCCATAAATATAGTAAAAATCTTACTGTATTCAAGCCTGAAGCTGTAACTGCATGCAGAGGGAGGAGATATTGAATGTTTGGATGCATTTTGGGCAGCCATGACCCAGGAAGGATCTCTAACCGCCATCTGAGGAGTGGCCAGTGAAGTTATCACTAGGCTGTAATGTAAACACTGCATTTTCTCTGAAAAGACTGTGTTTACAGCAAAAAGCCTGAAGGAAATGATTCTACTAACCAGAACAAATTCAATAAGCTGTAGTTCTGGTGACTATTGTGTCCCTTTAACAAAAATAAAGCTTTACTTTACCTCCCTCCTCCAGTGCACCAGTTTTGCCACAGATGTCCCACCTCAACCGGCTGAGATCAATTATGCTTCACCACTAAATGTATCTCTATGGGGAGCGTTTGGCGACTCCATTAAAAGTGTGGAAATCCCAAGCTCAAACTGTAGTGGTTTTGGTGCCTACAGTGTTCCTTTAATGGGCGTTAAGCACCCTAACCACTATTACCGGCATCTCTGAATAAGACAGGAAAGCTATTGCTGGAATACCCAGACCGTTAACATTTCCAATCCTAGTGGCTAATCGACAATATTGTCCAACACATCTTTTGGGCTAACGCATGGTTTGTTTTAATAAAGGATGTGCCGAAATCTTCAGGCTGAAAACGAGCCAAATTTGCAGTTTTTTTTAAATTACATTTTTGTAGTGCATAGTTTAACAGACATGCTTGCATTGGCAATTCAGATTATTCTATATCACAATGAAATATAGTAATAACATGAAAAGTCAAGAATACTGCACTTGGGACGGGTAGGAGAACACTAAAGAGGGGGGAGAGGAACACTAGAGGGGAACTAAGGTACAGAGAAGGGAAAAGGAACACTGGGGAAGTCTAATAAAATTATAGAACCCCCCCCCCCCAAAAAAAAAAAAAAAGTCATTTTCGGTATCCTGAATTTTCTGTTTCAGCCCAGAATTCTCATTTTGGTGCAGCCCTAGTTTTAATTTAACCCTTCTCAGACAAATGCCTCAAGCTCAATCAGTATAAAGGATGTAACCTGCAGAGTAACCAAGTACAGAAACACAGAACGTGACCCTGAACAAGATCTCTGAACAGAGCATCCTCTCTGACTCGTCATCGTATCATCACAGAAGGGCAAAAGTAGCAAAGTTTTCAATACAGTTCTGCCAGGTTTTAATTCAGCAAAACTTTATGATATGTTTTCTTTCAAATGGAGTAACCATAAGCCATTTTCTATTACATATGACAGAACAGCTTGAAATACATTCCAGGCCCTAAAATACTAAATTTTAAAATCTGTTTTTGTATACTCCTAAATCTGTAATAAAAAATATAAACAGCTATCTTCAATCTCTCTCTGTTCCATCTATTATACTGTAGTATGCACAAGATGGTGTACTCTGACCACCTGTGTCAGCCTGAGCACCTCCAGCACACACAGCCACAAAAAGTAATGGCTTCCAAACATCCTACAACTTCTGTTGCTACAAAAGCAATGCCTCCAGCTCAAAATCTGGGTAGCTATCTTGACTCAGGAAGCCCCTGGATAGCAGTTGGTACCTATGCACACCGCATCAACTGATCACCAGCATGGGGGCCTGGTCCAAGAAGGTACAGTATTTAAGGGGTGGGATTACTAGAATGAACAATTCAATGAACTGATGCCAAGTAAAAGCTATGGTAGTGGTGCATATGTGCCTATGGAGGTAACACTAAACACACGAGTAGGATGTGAAGGAGATTGGAATCTAGTAACGCAGAGGATTACTCAGTGTTCTACTACATTATCTCTGTACAGAAGAGGAAGTTATTCTCACCTTGCCGGAGGAGCACATGGCGCACAGCTGTATCCACGTAGTAGTTGACAGGGTCTCCACTGTGGATCATCAAGCCATCCACAAACTTCATGGACTTTGCTCTCTGACCTCGCAGCTTGCCGGACACAACAACTTCACAACCCTTGGCGCCACTCTCCATGATGAAACGCAGCACACCATAACATGCTCTGAAACAGTTTATCAACAGATTAGGTTCAGCTCTGCACATATTCGGTCACATTTACTTAAAGGAACCCTGCAGGCACCATAATCCGTTACACCAACTGAAGTAGTAATGTGGCCTGGCATCGATGTGCGACAAATCCGGCATCAAACGTAAATAGTTTACTCACTGTTTAACAGAGATAGTTATGATATTATAGAGTTACGCTTTGCTCCATACAAAGTAATACTAGGGACTGCAGGCAGTGTTCCTATGACACAAAGACTATCAATTCCCACTAACCCTGGCATGCTGTGAGGTGCATCATATCTTCATTGCAATATTGTCAATCAGGGCTGGGCTGCGGTCTGCTGGGGACAGATCATTTCTGCTAAACAGCGAGTAAACTATTTACCATTGATGTGAGCCAGAGCGCATGTGGACTTCAGGCACCATAACCACTACAATCAGTTGAAGTGGTTAAGGCGACTATAGCATCCCTTAAATTTACTCAATAGAAGCAAATTATATTTAAGGCAAAACGTGCAATATAGTGGCAAAACAAGATGCAAACTATAATAGACACCTTCTCAGACAAATGCCTCATAGACATCAAGCAAAAGGTAAACTTCACTCAATGGACTTTTATCTACAGCACAAGACGTGACGCAGACAATGACCACTGGAAAAGGATTTACCCATTCAGACTCGTCATCGTATCATCACAGAAGGAAAAATAATAAAAAAAATAAAAAAAGCCACAAACATTCTAAACCTGTATCTGTCCAGGTTGTACATATCCAATAATGAGGAAGTATTTAGTGTCAATTTGGCTTCTAAGAGCCCAAAGCATTTCCCCCACAAAAATATCTATTCCCACTATTATTTTAAACATTCACTCTGTATCAAACAGGCGCTCACCTTCTCACAGCCAGGCCTCCCAGGAGCTTGTAACGCAAAGATTCTGCCTGGGCAATGGCACACAGACCCCTTGTGGCAACCTTCTCGGCATAGAGCTGAAAGGAATTAAATCAGTTTAGGAGAAAGCCAAAACCAATTAAGTTTATCTCAAAAGAAAAAATTACAAAACATGTGTAACATTATCCACAGCTTGCTAGACAGATAGAGATATAGAGATATATATATATATAAAAAAAAAGTGGTATAAGCACCATAACCTATGCTCCTTGTTTAGTTCATGACATACAAAGCTCCCATCTCTCCACATGTGGCTACTTTTATAGCTTTAGCAAGTTTCACAAATGTGAGAGGAAATTATATCTTCCGCAGTACCAGCCTGTACAGTGGTGTCATTTCCTGGCCTTCATGAACTGGATATGGACAATGCTAACCACTTACTAATAGAAAAGATCAGTGCTAGCAAAGAGGACATTTTGAGGGCCAGGAATTACTCAGTAAGTTACAGATTTGCAGGAAGGAAAGAAAGAATAGAGGGGAGTAATTTTGCTATTAAATACAAAAACTGGAAACCCAAGTCAATTTATTCGCTTACCTCAACACTACCTTCAGGGAAGCCAAACCTCTTCTGAACAACTGCAGTCAGCTCACGGATACGACGACCCTTCTCACCGAGGACATTTTGGGTCCTGTAAGGAAATTCAGACAAGGTTTAGTTTCAAGTAACTACTTCGCCTTGGCTCTGAATACCAAGAAATGACCAAAGGTGCAACCACAACTCATGCCCTTCTCAGACAAATGCCTCAAGTTCAATCAGTATAAAGGACGTAATCTGCACAGCAACCAAGTACAGAAACACAGAACGTGACCCTGAACAAGATCTCTGAACAGAGTGTCCTCTCTGACTCGTCATCGTATCATCACAGAGGGCAGACAATCGCACATTGAGCATGTATTTTAAAAGTCTCAGAAACAAACACCAAAATTGATAAGGCAAGATGAAAAACTGAATTTAATGAAAACAGATTAGCCAGAACAATGCATCGCTATGAGGAGATGCTGATGGACACACATGCAGTCTATGGGGAAGCACTGGATTTTGTGAAATCAGCAAGATTGAGGATTTCAGACAGGGAGGAGGGGTAGCCACACAGAACAGCATGGTGAGGGGACCAAATAGAACACTACAGCATTAGGAGTAAGTTTATATTCCCAACGATATAGTTTTTCATTTGAAACTGGTGACTGTTACAATCGTGAGCCAGTGAAAAACAGCATGGCGACAGATCTGGATTTCAATCCAGATGTTAACCAAAGTGCATGAGAATACTACTGATAGTGTATTAATTATGATACAGAACATAAACAGTCCAAGCCCTTCTATGGAATGGCAGATAAGGAGGAGAGAATACAAAGAGTACACCTTATTGCCAGATATTGGTAAAGAAATATCGGATCTCTTACCTGGTGGCAAGTATGATAATTTCTGTCCTGGTTGGAGTGACTCGGACCTCCACACCAGAGTAGCCATCTTCAGCCAACTCTCGGGTCAGGAACTCATTGAGCTCAGCTTTAAAGATGCCATCGGCAACAAACTGAAATAAGGAATAAAAAATAAATAAATAAATGATTTCGGAAAAACAGATGGCTGGGCAATTAAAATGTACACAAACCAAATTCAATTAATTGCAAAATGTGTTATACACGCCCAACTTAAAGGGTCACTTTAGTCACCAGAAAAACTACAGCTTATTGAATTTGTTCTGGTGAGTAGAATCATTACCTTCAGGCTTTTTGCAGTAAACACAGTCTTTTCAGAGAAAATGCAGGGTTTACATTACAGCCTAGCAATAACTTCACTGGCGACTCCTCACATGGCTGTTGGAGATCCTTCCTCGGTCATGGCTGCCTAAAATGCATCCACACATTCAGTGTCTCCTCCCTCTGCATGCAGACACTGAACTTTCCTCAGAGATTCATTTATTCAATTCATCTCTGTGAGGAGATGCTGATTGGCCAAGGCTGTGTTTGAGTCATGCTGGCTCTGCCCCTGATCTGCCTCTTTGTCAGTTTCAGCCAATCCTATGTTGAAGCATTGTGATTGGATCAGGCCACCACTTCTGATGATGTCAGCAGACTGCTTGTTTTTTTTCTGCGTCTAACAGCATGCAGAGTTACAGCTTCAGGCTTGAATACAGTAAGATTTTGCTATATTTATGGAGGCATGAGGGACCTAGGGTGTCTAGATGGTGGTTTTAACACTCTAGGGTCAGGAATACACGTTTGTGTTCCTGACCCTAAAGTGATCCTTTAAAGCAGCTATACTTTCAAGGTCTCTGCATATACACATTTTCCTGATTTGGAGTGTGGCAGCCCAGGGATATCTAAAACTATAAATTTCCAATTACCTTATGTTGCTTCACCTGCCCTGGGTGATGCACCAACACATGTCCAAAATCCTAACACTTAGATCTACAGTGGATTTCAGTCTGCCATGCATGAACACAAAATCATTAACCCCTTAAGGACCAAACTTCTGGAATAAAAGGGAATCATGACATGTCATGTGTCCTTAAGAGGTTAAAGTACATTCCACATTCACAGATTAAAAGTTATTTACATGTACTCCATCTGATGCAGAATAAAGGCAATGTAACACTGGTTTATCCCACAACTTGACTCAAAGTTCCAGTAAATATCCCTGTTCAATATAAAGTAGGCAGTAAATGTCCTGCAGAAGGGATGCTGCCTGCCATCTTGGTGATAAGGAGCTGACAGAGTGATAACCCCCAGGGATAGATGCAACAAATCCCAGACAGCAGGGCCCATAACCTATATAGCCCAGGCTGTGTTGTACCCATCATACAGCAGGGCCCATAATAACTTCCATATCCCCGGGTGGATATTACATTCAGCAGGGAGAATATACCAACATATATAGCCCAGGCTGTATAACCCCCTTACAGCAGGGCCCATAATTATACAACCCAGACTGGATACCACAACCATACAGCAGGGGGCCTATAACATATAGCCCAGGCTGTGCTATAACCCTCATACAGCAGGGCCCATAATTGTACAACCCAGGCTAGATACTACATAACTATACAGCCCAGATATGATAATCATACAGCAGGACCTCTATGTATAGCACAAGCTGTGTAATACCCCTCATACAGCAGTGCCAAGAATAACCTATACAGCCCAGTTTGTATAATAACCTATATAATCCACACTGGGTAATCATACAGCAGGACCCCTCTATTTAGCCCAGGCAGTATAACACCCCCTCTATATAGCCCAGGCTGTGCAATGCCCCCCTATACAGTAGGACCCTCTATATAGCCCAGGCTGTGCAATGCCCCCCTATACAGTAGGACCCTCTATATAGCCCAGGCTGTGCAATGCCCCCCTATACAGCCCAGGCTGTGCAATGCCCCCCTATACAGTAGGACCCTCTATATAGCCCAGGCTGTGCAATGCCCCCCTATACAGTAGGACCCTCTATATAGCCCAGGCTGTGCAATGCCCCCCCTATACAGTAGGACCCTCTATATAGCCCAGGCTGTGCAATGCCCCCCCTATATAGTCCAGGCTGTGCAATGCCCCCCCTATACAGTAGGACCCTCTATATAGTCCAGGCTGTGCAATGCCCCCTCTATATAACATCCCCTCTATACGGACTAGGCTGAGCAATGCCCCTCATACAGCAGTGTCCCCCTATATAGCCCAGGCTGTGCAATGCCCCCTCTATATAACATCCCCTCTATACGGACTAGGCTGAGCAATGCCCCTCATACAGCAGTGTCCCCCTATATAGCCCAGGCTGTATAACAAAATTATATATATAATATATATATATATATATATATATATATATATATATATACACACACACACACACACACACACATATACACACACACACGTATAGTGGCACTCACCCTTTCAATGAATCAGTAAAAGACTGCCTTGGTGCAATCCCACACTGGATATGTAAAGCAAAAAGGAAAGAGATGCACTCTCAGGTCTTTGTAGAAAAAACTCGATATTTAATAACAGGTAACATACATCTGATCGACGTTTCCACCTCTTCAGGTCTTCCTCATGATCTTGAGGAAGACCTGAAGAGGTCGAAACGTCGATCAGCTGTATGTTACCTGTTATTAAATAGAGTTTTTTTCTACAAAGACCTGAGAGTGCATCTCTTTCCTTTTTGATATATTGAGATATATATATATATAGCCCAGGCTGTATAACATCCCCCCCTCTATATATCTCGCCCAGGCTATATAACATCCCATATATAATATATATAGCTAGCCCAGGCTGTATAAGATCCCTGCTCTATATATATCTCGCCCAGGCTATATAACATCCCATATATAATATATATATAGCTAGCCCAGGCTGTATAACATCCCATATATAATATATATATATATATATATAGCTAGCCCAGGCTGTATAACATCCCATATATAATATATATATATATATATATATATAGCTAGCCCAGGCTGTATAACATCCCATATATAATATATATATATATATATATATAGCTAGCCCAGGCTGTGTAAGATCCCTGCTCTATATATAGCCCATATAGTCTATACGGACTAGGCCGAAGCCAGCCTGGCAGTATCCCGTGTCCCGGTGCCAGGCACTGTGTCCGGCTCAATCTACATCCATCCGCTCCACCCCCCGCCCGCAGAGACCCGGACTGAGGATAACCGAGACCCGCCGGCCCTGCAGTACCCGGTGCCGGAGATATTGTCCATGTAACAGGCCGCCATTAGCCGTATCGGAGCCGCCCGGGGCCTACCTTCCTCTTCTTGGAGATCTGCACCGCCATCTTGCTCCGCGCTGCTGGAAGGAAAGGGAAAGCGCTTCCGGGGTAAGTAGCTAAATAGCGCGGCCGCTCACCGGAAGGAATCCGGGCTGCCGCGAGGGATCACGGGAGATGTAGTTTTACGGGGCAGAGCGGTTTCCACGGCAACCCGCGCTATTTATGAAGTTAGGAGTGAGTGCTCGCTCAGGATTGGCCCTGGGTGACCTGTGATAGACAGCTCACTCACAGCTGGAGCCCCACTCCCACTACTCCCAGTGACTGGCCATGGCTGGGCCCCCAGAAACATTTACCAAGCCGTGGACTCACACTCTCATTACTCTAAGCCAGGGGTCCTCAAACTCCGGCCCCCCAGATGTTGCTGAACTACAACTCCCATGATTCTTTGAAATACATAGATAGCCAGAGAGTGATGGGAGTTGTAGTTCAGCAACACCTGGGGGGCCGGAGTTTGAGGACCCCTGGCTTAGAGCAATGGTTAAATCTGCTGGGATGGGGCATTATAATAAGCTCTGGGTCACAACTCCCATCACTCCCAGGAATGTCTGAACAATGTACAGCGCTACGGAATGTGATGGCGCTAAATGTCTGTACTGATGTAAGCTCATTGAGCAGGCCCTCAACCCCTCTGTTCCTGTGTGTCCAACTTGTCTGGTTACGATTACATGTTTGTTCATCCACCCATTGTAAAGCGCTGCAGAATTTGTTGGCGCTATATAAATAATATAATAATAATAATATTAGGATGGGATCATAAACAGCAGCATTTTAGGTCTAAAATAATCTCTGGATCACAATTCTCACCACTCCATGGGTCTGAACATGACAAGTATTGTTTAGTATTAATTATTATCACATACCTTCTAACGTTTCAATAACGTTTCAATTGAACAGAAAGGATACTTTAATTGTAGGGGTGTGAGTTGCCATGTGGCCAGGGGCGGGGCTGTCCTGAGAAATTTTAGGTGACTTACTAATAATTTATAAAACTAAAATGTAATTTATAACAAGAACAATGTATCTTATTTACACAGACTGATTTCTAAATACAGTTAAAGGGAAACTATAGTGTCACTGCCCCCACCCTCAGGGTCCCCCTCCCGTGGCGCTGAAGGGGTTAAAACCTTCAGCTACTCACCCTTTCCCCCCACCTGGCTCCCTTACCTCTCCTCCCCCACCGACGTCAGCATCCTTGTCTGACGTCACCGGCGCCGAATGCGCATGCACTGCACTGCCGCGCGCGCATTCAAAGTGTCCGTAGGAAAGCATTTTTCAATGCTTTCCTATGGACGCTCTGCATAATATGCCTCAATCATTGCCGATGCGCCTCTAGTGGCTGTCCGGAAGACAGCCACTAGAGCCTGGTTTAACCCCAGATGTAAACATAGCAGTTTCTCAGAAACTGCTATGTTTACATCAGGCACGGTTAACCCTCAGACACATTACTGGGAGTATTATTGCTGAGGATTCTGTTATACACTCAGTCACATTACTGGGAGTATTATTGCTGTGAAGCTGTGTTATACACTCAGACACATTACTGGGAGTATTATTGCTGTGGAGCTCTGTTATATACTCAGACACATTACTGGGAGTAGCATTGCTGTGGAGCTCTGTTATACACTCATACACTACTGGGAGTATTATTGCTGTGGAGCTCTGTTATACACTCAGACACATTAATGGGAGTATTATTATTGTGGAGCTCAGTTATACACTCAGATACATTACCGGGAGTATTATTGCTGTGGAGCTCTGTTATACTCTCAGACACATTACTGGGAGTATTATTGCTGTGGAGCTCTGTTATACACTCAGACACATTACTATGAGTATTATAGCTGTGGAGCTCTGTTATACACTCAGACACATTAGTGGGAGTATTATTGCTGTGGAGCTCTGTTATACACTCAGACACATTACCGGGAGTATTATTGCTGTGGAGCTCTGTTATACACTCACACACCAACAATATGGAGCTTTGAGAAAAGAGGGATATTAGGACAGAAAAGTGTGAGAGATGGATTTGGCCCAAAATAGGGACTGTCCCTCCTAAATACTTGAGAGATATGCTATTATTAGTTGTGGTCGGGGACAAAGACCGTAATAAAGCAAAGCTGGTTAAGGTAGGCCTGTAAATAAAGAGGCCCCGCCAGGGTATTGATTTAGAAAGGGCATCGATTGGTAGCAGCCCAGATGAAAGGCTATTAGTCTTAATCCTTATGATCAGGGACAAGGGTGGTAATAAAGTCGAATGTGGTGTGCCGAAACCAATGTTCAGGTAGGCCTGTAAATAAAGAGGGCAAAAAGGTTTCCAAAATTACACACTTTATTACATAAGTATTTACAAAACCAAATTCTTAAATGCATTTCTTAATTCCTTTCCGGGTTGAGGTCTAAGCATATTGTATGCTGGTATTCCAGCGACCTAGCCTTTTAATACTGTGTACTGGGACATTCTTACTAGAGCCAGCTGATGCTGCACCAATTCTCAATGAATGCTCTGTGAATGTGGTAGGGCCGAATCCAAGTTTCATGAACAGAGTTCCAACATAGAAAATGAACTGCCGTGAGGGGGTTATCATGCAGTGACTAAAGGGGTGTATCGCCTGAATGATTAGTTAATGTTTGGCTGACCCAGAGCCGCGACTGACACCATTTAATATTAGTGGGATATATATTAATTACCTCTGGTAAACCTGATTGTTTAGTTTTAATTTGCTTTAGCAATAGTATGTAATGATTTTTTTTAATGAACATATAGTGATTTTATTTGGATGTAAGAAGCCATAAAAGGCAACGTAAATGGCAGCCTTCATTACTTTATTAGTGTGTGTTTCAAAAGGTTGAGTGTCTAAGATATCTGAAAGGGCTCTGAACTTGGCACCATCTATTGGTTGTCATATGGGCGTTGGTATATGTCCAACTTGTTGTATGCCTTTCAGTTTGTTCTTTATGGGGTTAGAAGTCTTGAATGGTCTACAGTTGGGGAAATTAGCTAAGAGATGATGCTGACTCACTATCAAGTGTAGTTTTATGGTGTTGTGGGATAGTTTTAAGTGAAGGTGGCAAAAGGCTGCAAATGCAACCATAGTCTCTATGGTAAAAGAAAAATCTGTAAACTGAAGATGAAACGTGTGAATAAGGTCATGGTCCTGGTGTAAGTCTTCTGAGTGCCATTAAGTGTTCTAGTCCGGAACTAGGTCGATGAAGGTTGGTGCCCTGCATGGGTAAGTCCTAGCAGTCAGGTGAAGTCTGAAGAAATCCTGTAAATAAGAGAGGGACAGGGTGTCAGCAGCATTCTTATGGTATCCGGGAATGTGTACACAAACTAGATAAAACTGATGGGTAACAAGCCAACTTAAAGCGGCACTGTCATGCCGAACTTACCTTTCCTCAATCTCTTCCTCTTCTCACCCTCTCTCGGGATCTGTTCTTCTTTTCTTTCTTTCTTCTTTAGTTTTCTTTAAAATCATAAGACAAAGTAGGGACTCTTTGCCTTATGAAGGATTCCTCCGCTTGACCAGCTCTGACCAGCGGATGAGCAAAGTGTGCTTCATTTCCGCTGGTCAGAGCAATTTTCCCATAATTCTCACCTTCCTTCTGTGTTCCCACGATGCTTCCTGTCACTTTACACAAAACTGCCAAATTGCGTTCTAACTGAATGAGAACAGTATGTTCGTTTCTTTTAGAATGCAATTCGGCACTTTATTCGGATCGGAATTTCATTCGCATGAATGAAACTCCGATCCTATTGATTGCTGTGGCTGCATCTTGCAGCCGCTTAGTAGATAACTCCCTAATTCCCACGGTATCAGGGAGTTATCTACTAAAAGGCTGAAAGACCTAAATTGGTCTTTCAGCCAACTTTACTAATACTAAGTAAAGATTACTTAGTATTAGTAAATTCAGCCCCTACTCGCTATACCACGAGTAGGGGCATGTATAGTAAACAGTGAGCAGCCTGTGGCTGCTCACTGTAAAAAACAAACAAACAAAAAAAAAACTATTGGCCCCACCCCTAAACGACGGGTGGGGGCTCTAAAGTAATATAAGGGGGGAGACCTATTGTCGTCCCCCTGCGGTCCCCACCCCTGCGCGGTGGGTGGGGGTCATAATGATAATGAGGGGGGGGGGACCTGCTGTCCCTCCCCTGGCCCCCACCCCTGGGCGGCGGGTGGGGGCCATAATGATAATGAGGGGGGGACAGTACCCGTCATTTAGGGGTGGGGGCCAATAGTTTTTGTTTTTGTTTTTTTTACAGTGAGCTGCTCACTGTTTAGTAGACATGCCCCTACTCGCGGTATAGCGAGTAGGGGCATTGGGGAGATTTTAATCTCCCTTGTGCTATTACGGGGGTCATATTGACCCCCATAGAGTTAGGGGGAAACCTGGGGGGCTTATGAAGTGGCGGGGAGCACTGCTCCCTGCCGCTTCTATATTTACATATTACAAGGAGGGAGCTGCGTGCCAGTAGCTCCCTCCTTGTAATAAACTGAACGAACAAACACTGATACACAGTGTTAGTTTGTTCGTCTGACATTTCTATTCATTCATTCATCTGTCTGATGAATGAATGAATAGATAAAATTCCCGTTCGCATGTCCAGGTGTGTCACTGGGCATGTGCGGGAATCTCACAGTCTGTCTAGTGTGGGCTGATGACGTGTCCCACAGGGACTTCATCTACCCACACAAAGATGGCGGCGCCCTGAATCAAGATCGGGGCAGAAAATAAAGATTAAAAAATAGGTAATGTGGGGAGCTTAGGGGCATTTGGGGGTGACTAGGGGGTCAATTAGAGATAGTGGAGGTGGAAGGGGGGTTAAAAAAAAACAGGATTGGGCATGACAGTGCCGCTTTAAATGCCTGATCAATCTCATGATCTTCAGGGAAGTGGATCGTCCTTTATTAATTAAGTCAAGGTAGTTGTCAAGGTAGTGAATCACCACTGGCATCAGATATTGTTGAGGAGGAGCCAACACAATGTTTCTGTAATGTTCACTAGGGAACCCTAACACGCAGACACGACAGAGTAGAGAGAATTGCAATACCGATCCTTAGAATGGTCGGGTTATGCAAAAAGGGATAGTCAAAACACGAGCCGAGGTCAAGGGAAACAGAGAGC